CACCTGCCCCCCTCTTCAGTAGTCATTATAGCGATCCTCTGCAGGTCTACCTCATAACATAGCCCCATCATCCCGAGGCTCGGTCCGCATGGAGTTGCCGTGCAAGGCCTTCAGCACGCATTGGTGCACCATGGCCACAAGACTTGGATGCGTTGATTACTGAGTTCCTGGCTGCCCAGGTACTGCATCAAAGGGCAACAGAACTTCACATCTTGTAGTCTCGTGTGACACCTTCGTGCATTCAGCATTCACACGCTCAACTGCATCTGCCCACAGGCCGGGCTGTGCAGATCAATCTTGCCGCGTGCACCACCGCCCGCATTCCAGGTCTGCCATCTGCCGGACACACCACCTGCCGCTGACAAAACCTACTTTCCCATGAATGCACTGAAAGCACCTGCCCCATCCTGCCCCAGCCTGCACATGGCTTTTTCGCGGCACATGCATCTCGGGCGAGCGGTACATGCTTTTTCCAGCTTCCACGAAGTACCTGATGCAAAGTGATGGCGACGGAAGGGAGAGTGCTGCCGCTCCCAGAGCACCGAAGCACGGTTCCGTCTTGTGCTGTTAGTTGCACTGCCTCAAGAGACGAATCCTTACAGAGCACCCTTCGGCAGTCTCTGCGTCCGCGGCCTGCCCAAAGTCGCTCAGCACACAACTTCCTTTCCTGAGCAGGACCTGCGAGCATCAGGAAGCCCACGTCTCCATGCCGGCCTACTGACCCTGGGAGCCCCACATTCTCCAGAGAGATGTCGCGGTGACCTGGCAGGCTGGACCAAGAAACGCCAAAAACACTGACAGATCGACCGGCCAACGTTGTGCTGATGCAGGTGACGCACCTGAGGCATTGACATCAGGGTCCGTTGAACTCCCATTCATAAATTCCATCTGAGACCAAAGCCCCTTGTAGGAGTTCGCTGACGTAGCGTTTTTTGTCCGTTTCGGCCAAAGGATCTCCATAAGCCACTCGCTCGAAGAGATCACCTGTCACTGGCAGCATGTCGTCGCCCTTGTTGTCGCATCCAAGCATGTCTTAGCACCTTCCTCGCAGTAGCCGGTGACCAGGTAGATACTAAAAGCATCCTGCAACACGAGGCGACTACTTCAGGAGATTGAATGAGGGCTGGCAAATATCCTCGAAGGATCCCAGGATGCTGATGAGGTATGGGCAGTGTGCACAAGTGCTCAGGAATGTCAGGACCTGTAACGGCTGAGCGGGCGCTCACAGGCAATCTACGGCTACTCCCCCGAGCCGACGACTGCGATTTCGCTCCGGATGTCTTCAAAAGATTGAATGTCAATGTTCTCGTTATTCAACCTCACTACTTGGTCTTGGCTCGCAATCGTACGTGGAACGTTCGGGCATCCAACCACACAGACTCTTCGCTGTCGACCTGCAAGCTCAGCCATACAGGCGCCCGTCGATCACAAAGAGTATGCCTTCTTCTTGTTTGCGATGTTCTTCGACACCACCTGCTAGCAAGCAGTACTCAGCCAAAGCAACTAGGTACAATCTTCAGCACACCCCTAAATCATCCCCACTCTGTCTCCACTGACGACATCGTTAACCTACATTTAATTTGCTACCCCTCTCGACGTGAAGACCCTATCTGACAACCTGACAGAACAAGCCCCGATCTTTAAACTCCGAAGCTGTAAAGTATCACTGTACAATGAACGACTAGATTACGAGATTCTAGATGTTGTAACGACGCTTTGGCTTGAATTGATAGATCAGCCTGTCGCACCAGACTCTGCTGTGCAGCGTTGGCCACGCAGAGAACAATGCAAGTTGAGATCCCTTGCTGCAGAGCTAAGGCGTGCGATCTTCGATAAACTTATCTAGCTTGAACCCTCGTCCTGCATGTCTGAGTGATCAACAAAGTCAACCAAAATGTGGTTTCGGGGTTTGCAGGCAAAAGGCTTCAGGCTTGAAGAGCTGCAGCGGTCAGTGCCAATCTCACGTCGTCTCTTCGCGGAATTGAACCAGCTAACGGAGCCCTGAGTCCCGTCCAGCAATGCATAGCAATGCCAAGGCTATCATTTCGCTGGCGCCGAGCGGTGCTTGGCCATCGCGGCTGCTTGACTCGGCTAGTGAGTGATCGTTAAAGTTAAACTATCAAGCTTGGACACGCCGGCCTTTGCAACACCGGTGATTCCAGCGCTGCTCTGGGAGAAATGGACCTTCCAGCGGGCCCCGTTGAACCTAGGCATACGACCACACTTCCTCGCCATGCCCCGCCTCGCTGTGGACTGATTTCGCCAAACCTTTCAGTGCGGCACTGCGAGGCTCGTCTTGGCGCGATACGGGCTGGAACCAATAGTGCTTCACTCCCTGAACCCTCTCAAACCCACGAGATTCACCCTCGAGTCAACGCTTCAAGGGGGGCTTGGGCTTGTGAAGGGCACCTTCGTTCTTCTTCACCTTCTCCAAGCTGTCTTTGGCTCACGAGCTCTCGACACAATGCTGAACAGCATACCATAAACTTCCGCTCAGCTCTGCACGCGCAATCAAGCTAAACCCACTGGATTGCCAGGGCTTCAATGAAACCTCGCACACCGCTGCAAACAGCCCGATATTGTCTCGATCAATATGCAGAGGAGACGGCATTATCAGCATGGCTCCAATCATCAAAGAGGAACGCAGTTTCCTCAAAGTTCGAGACCTCGTGAGGATGCCGCTCCACAGGAATGCCACTGCTTCCAGTAAGACTGCGGCTTTGAGCGTCGGAAGCTGAGACTGAGCGTCTGCATGCTCAGTCTCTTCCGCTGCACAGGCCTGTGCTGCAGAAATCCCTCCTGACCGACACCTCAACACAGAAAGCTGGTCCGCCTCAGGCAGAGGGCGCCCGTTGTGGTCCTTGCCGGTCTCCGCGCCAGCCAGCAGCTTCAAAGCCTCCGTCGCTGACCTGGAACAGAAGGCCAGGCAAGTAGGCAGGAGAGTTGTCCCAGTGCCTGGCCGGGCCTTCGTGTTTTGGCCAAGGAGATGCCATCGGCCAGCGTGAGGGGTGAGGTTGTACAGAAGGCTGCCCATATCAGACAAAGGTCAGGATCATGGCGCCAGGACTCCAGCCTGAGAATGAGGCAAAAACGGCCTGCAAGATTTCAAGAGCATGGACACGTCGCCAGGAAACTTCGCCGCAAGTCCAGCTTGATCCAGACACAGCCCACTGGCAGCACTTGTCGCGTTCGTCTCACATTGACCTCATGCAAACAAGCGAATCAAAGGAGAACAAGATGCAAGAGGACTTTTGGAGCCGCTGACTTTCCAACCGTAGCCGGCCCATGAGACGCCGGCTCTCCCCCCGCCCTGCCCGCCCCTCCCCCCCCCCTAGAAAACCACTTCGAAGGACTTCAGAGCCGATGCCGCAGATGGGTTAAAATGAGGTGTGGGCAAAGCATGGAGCCCCTCGCCGCCGCGTTTCCCCGCTTCTTTTCATTGCCGAAACTCTTCTGGCACGTCGAATCCTCTCTCTATGACCTCGGTTACAGAATCGCCGCACGCACTGAGTCACAGACGCAGCTGCTCGTGTCAGCTGAGGCATGGGCATCGCGCCAATCCTTGGCATTTCTTTGAATTGCCTCACCAGGATGGGATGGGATGGGATCAAGGCAAATGCAAATGCAAATGCAAATGCAAATGCAAATGCGGATGCATGGATGCATGGATGCATGCCTGCATGCCTGGATGCATAGACGGATGTATGCATGGATGCATGGATGGATACAGAGTCTTGGACAGACTGAAACGTACATGAGCTGATTCTTCTCGGGCTGGCACGTGCCAACAACAACCAATTCTGGATCAGATTCTTTTAGCCAGTGACAGGCATGTGTCAGCTTGGGGCAGGACTGAACAAATTGCATAAACCCGTACCTGTCGCGCCGGAATGCGTATCGTACCGGAACGTGATAAGGTTTTGCGCTCGTGCGAGCTTCATACGCATTGCGGTGGCTGGCAACACCAGTTAGCAGACATGACCAATCGCGGCAAGCTGTCGGGACAGGTCTAGATCGTGATGGAGCGTGCTGATCAGGATGGACTCCGCATCTGACAAGACTTGATTTGCTGCTTCGATCGAATTACTCACCGTCAAGATGTCCGGGCATGTTTGCAGTTCTGGTCCACAGACACGTCGATGTTGCGAAAAGGATTTTGACATGCCGCATTTATGAGCTGATAGGAACATGCTCGAACATTTCGTCGTTTTCATTGGGGAGGGTGCAAAGCATGTACGGCTGTGGGACCCAGTGACTGCGGTCCGAACGCTTCAGCTTGTTCATGCCACCCGTACTACACCGCATCGCGAGTCTTCTGCGGTGAAGATATACAGTGTGATTGAGGCTTCGGCCACTTGGCTGATGGCCGACAGCATGTTGCAGTGTGAGTGTCTGGACATGCTGTGCTCGTTTCCTTGCTTTCATCTCTTCAGTCAAGCACTAAGCCACCCGGGATAACAAGCTGAGTTTAACATGATCAATTCGGCAATGGATCCGTTAACACCAGCAGAAGTGCTTTGGGTGCGTGGAGATCACCAGACTGAGGGATGAAGAAGTTGCAGCTCGGCAGCTTCAACAAGGCCAGTTGGACGTGGCACAAGTTCAAGTACGAGAGAACCAACAACAGCTGACCGAGGTACAGTTGTTTCTGCAGCAACAAAAGGTCCATGAGCTGTTGCAAAGCATTGTTGCTGATCTGTCTGCTGCCTGCGTGAAAAGACAAAGTAAGACAGATCTTGCGACTGACAGTTTTCCTGCCACTCAACCGAATGCTATCTCACTTGACTGAGTTGACTGAGTCGAGTAGTCTGATTGCCAGCGAGTGAAGTAGTCGAAACGTCTGTTATGAAGGTTGTGCCAAACGAGCTTTTCAGTGCTCTTCATGGTCTGTCAGTGAATGAGCTTGAGACGTCGATGCTGTCCTTTGAGTGTGAGAGCGTCTTGCTACGGGCCCGTCAGGGCATGTGTGTGCCAGCCCTGTTCCTAGATGGCCGTGTCGATTACTGCCGGGATGGTCGGAACGTCCCAAGGAAAGGATTTGTGACATCTGTGCTGGCTGCAAGCAAACATGGCTGCGGCAAAACAACAAAGCTGTCTCCTTCACAGTTCCGACACCCTGGCGAGCTTTCCGCAAAAACATCTTGGAGTGTTTCGACAAGTGCCGGCTGAAAATGATGCCGTTCATTTTCAAAACCACACAAGGCCTGACTGACCAGGAGAGGGCATGTGGTTTCCACATCTTGCAGGCTCTCGGGCACCTTTCCGACACACAGAGAGACGTCATTCCTGGGTTTTTGGGTCAAGGCAAAGTCTGCCTCAAACCAATCCTCGTGGGACGTTGTGAGCGGCCTGTCCGAGCAAACTCAGGGGCCCAGCATCAGGCAAGATGTCTCGCCTTAATGCCACGCCCTGTCGATGAAGCCGGCTGCTGTGTCTTGTCAAGCGCCGCTCCACCTCAGAAACCAGCGAAGAAATGCGAAGCCAGTGGCCTGCCATCCTCGGCCTCGTCGCTGCTGAAGGAGCGTGGCATCTCGGACCAGAGGCGTTCCTTCCAGAAGCACTGAATCCCAAGCAGACCCAAGCAGTTCAAGCGACTTGGAAGCCCAAGCATCGGCCACCGCAGCGGCGCGAGGCCATGCGCGGCAGTTCAGGTTGGTGAAGTCAATCAGCTCACTCCAGAGTGCCGTCTCGCCTCTCGAGCACTCAGCCACGCCCTGCCAAGGCCATGACAGGCTGCCGACGGCCTCCAAGCAGCCTGGGAACGTTGGTTGTTGGGGCCGCAGCGAAGCGAAAGAGGGCTGAGACTCGGTTGAGGCTTGGACCGGTCAGAGGGCGTGGACGCCAGGGGACCTTCATCAGCCGTGTGATTGTAGAAGTCCGTCCACCTGCAGCAAGCCGCAATTTGCCGCAATCGGCAGCCTTACGCACAACACCCTTGCTACCCTTCTGAAATGCTAGCTGAGGGACTGCGAGTTCCAGTCGAGGTACCAGCAACTGCTCTGCACAGCGGAGAAGCCCATGGAAGTGGCGGCGAAGGCCGAGGCGTGGCCGATCTGCGCCTCCGGCTCCGCCTGCCGAGGTGGCGGCGCATCGCGTCGCGTCGCATCGCGTCGCTTCGTGGAGAGCCTGGCCTGGGGCCACCAGGGCATTCCTGGGCCCACGCTGCCCCAGCACCTCGGCAGCGGCACCGCTGCGGTGGCCGGCGATCTCCGAAACTTCGAGCGAAGCGTGCAGCAGAGCGGCTTCCACGGCTGCACAACTGCCTGCAACACTCCAAAGGTCTCCGGACCGGACCTACGATCCACGCATATCCACGCCTCCTTGGGCAGCCTGAGACCCTGCCAAACATACACATCTCGCCCCCAGATGTCAGCGTAACCAGGCCTGGTCGAAGGCATCTTGCCAGACGATTGGACGTTTGCCCAAGCGCTTTACCTGGCACGGGCCAGATCCGAGTCTTGAGGCCGGACATGCCCTGGGCGAGCTCCGACTCTTCCCGCTGACTTTGCATACCGTCACATTGCTGTCATCACGAGTTGGTGCATCAAAAATGTGCATCGAGCTGATTCCTTTGCCAAAACGCTATGCACTTGAGTGGGAGTGTTGTAGCATGTTGCAACAATGTTCGTTCCTTGAGACAGCAGAGTTCGGTTCCACTTCATGCACTCCTGCCTCTTGGAAGACGTGCTCGAAGAAGTTCTGCAGAGCCTGGGAGGCCCCCAATCCTGGCTAAGGCCACGGGGGGTGGCCTGGTGGAAGCTGTGAAATTACGAGCTGCCTTTCTTCCGCATCCAGGCCGCGATGTGCGGCATGGTTGTCCAACATCGAAAATCCACCTCCCATCAGAAACACCGTACACGCAACTTATCGGGCGTTCATGCTATCGCAGCCGTCGCCTCGTCTCCTCCCACGTGAAAGAACTCGTCCGGGAACAGGCCAGCCATTTCTTTGAGAATTGCAGACACAACCTCGCGCAAGTCGCGAGACTAGGCGGGAGCTGCGGCAAAAGGATATCAGCTCAGCTGCGCCTTCTTGGTCCGCTTTGATGAGATGTCCAATGCCAGCTTGTCCCTGGCTTTGAAACGATTCTTGGCATCGTTTGGGTCCTGCGGTAGGACCTCAAGTTAGCTGGACTTTCTGAGAAGACGGCCTGAGAGCACTCTGGAAATCTGAGATGCCTGCGTGCGTGCAGTTCGAGACTGTCTCCTGCCAGATTCGTTTACGAAGACCGTACAGTGACATTTTCCCAACAATCGGATAACAGATAGTTTGTACTACCTCCGTTGGCTTCAGGCACAGACCACCAACCCCATCTTGAACAAGCGGACAACTACTCCCGCCACATTCCACCCCTCCACCCACACCCTTTCCACCCTTCCCCAACCGCCCCGCTCGGTAGAGGGTTCTTGCACTCTCGTCAAGAGTTACGGCCTACGGTTTTGCGGTTTGGGGCTGTACCCCAACCCCAAATCCCACGGCTTGGAGCGTGAGACCCAGATGCGCCAACTTTTTGCTTCGTCGGCGCAAATGGCAAAGCGTGCCCCCGGCAGTCCGGCTGGCGTTTAGGTTTTGGGGTTTCGGGTGCGGGATTTCTTGCTAACTGCCTTGAAGCTAATGGGCAAAAGGAAGCCCTAAACCCTGCAGCCACAAACCCCAAAACCATAACTCCCTCGACGAGAGTGCCAGCGCGAACCCTCTATCATCCTCTATCCGCAAAAAACCCTTGACTGCAGGTGAACACCAATTGAAGGCTGGAATGGTGGAGGCATGGGGTGGTGGAGCGGTGGAGGAGGGTGAGTGGGTCTTCGATTGAAACAGTGGCTGGCGGGGTCTGGCCACCCTCCACTAAGTTCAAAAACTTCGCACACTTAGTACACGTAGGCCTTCTTCATTCCGGAAGCCCTGCGCTTTAGTGGAACTTGCCTTGCAGGACTCAGCGATCAGTGGCCGGCACGAGCCGGTGGGAGAGTTTGCTTCCCGACATGACATGTCGTCCGTTTACCACAACGAGAAGTGGCCGACGTCGTGCAAAGCATCAACATTCGCTGGCACTTGCCATGCCCTGTTTCGATGTGGCAACAGGCCTCACGTTGGACCTGGCCAACAGGTGTGCATGGCCTCCCACGGGTTCTTTGACTTTGATCGTCTCCGGCACAGCTCAAATCGCTTTATGCAATGTCCCATACCGGCTGTTTCATGCGACACTTCCCCATCTGCAGGCGACTTCCGTATTCCGTATTCCTGTCTTTCCCATGTGGATTGCGGCTCTGCGCACTTTCAGCCTCCCTTGCTTGGCCTGTTTGTCATGCGAGCTGCCTTCAAACTGGAAGCCGCAATGAACGCACGGGGGGGGGGGGGTGGGTCAGAAGCCGAGAGGATCTGGATAGGGCCCAAAGTTCAAAGCGTCTCCGGCTCGCCGAAGATCCAGCTGGCAGTGTGAGCGGGCATATCCAGCCTCGGAGCTCAGCAATAAAGCTGCGAGTTTTGATGGCTTTGGGGATCCGGCTCTGGGACGATTCGAATGGAGAGGTTCGCAGCCAGGGCAACAATGTGCCTCACATCCGCCTCATTCTCGCTGTCTCTTGGTAATAGCACAAATCGCCAAATTGCTACAAGCACACCTTGCTGGCCCTGGCTCGCACTGATGCATTCTGAGGCAGTAGCATGTGTGTAGGTCTTGCTCGCGTCAAAGGAACCCAGCTGCGCAAGCTGTGGCAAGGACTCGAGCTGCAGGGGGAAGCTCATGGCCTTAAACAAATCGGCCCGGGAACGGACCATTCTAGACGACTGTGCAAGGGTGCGATGTGCGTGACAAGTGAGCACAGAGCATCTGTCACATGCCAGTGGAGCACGTTGAGCTTACTCGCTGCCTCGGGCGAGTGAGGCAAGTGCGGTCCATCTCTTGTCAGGGCTGTGAGGGAGCTGCCATGCTGAAAAGCAAAGATTCCATCACCTGATGCACGACAGGGGGAGGGTTCGTGCATTGGCTACACGTGAATCACGTGAAACCCCAAAGCTCGTTTGGATCGCCTGGATTGGAGCGAAGTGGCGAGCAGTGTCCAAGAGCAGGCCCCTCCAAGGAAATCTCGGGACGTCTTCGATCCAGAGATCGACTGGGGCGCCATTCGAGAAGCCCGGAGCCCAAGTCCAAGCGCGACTCTCGCCAGAGAGGGCCTCCACCACCTGCAACAAGGTCTCGAGGCCACGTCGAAAGCCGTGGATGGATGGAGCGGAAAGCTTGGAAACGCCAGCAAAGAGGAGCTGGTACTTCTCCTCCATGTGCAGATCCAAGCCCGAACCGGAGCTTCCTCAGGGATCGGAGTCGTATGAGAGTCCAAGCTTTGCTTCGCTTTGCTTCACGCTTGCCTTGAGAGCTTTTGATTTCGACATCGACTGTGACGGCAGAGTCGTTCAGGCTGCAGGCTTCGGATTCCTTGGCTAGGGCCAGCGTGGCGCTGAACCTCTCGTCCAGAGTGCGACATGTCTTCGCTGCTCTACCTTCTGCTCTGCTGGCACCATGTACGAAGCACTAGGCTACCGCGTGACCGCGCCCTGCGAAGCACTGAATACAAGAGTGAACCCCACAACTCAGCATGTGTTGCCTTCGAAACCCAGCATGTCCTCCTAGCAACCAGTTTCTTGATGTTTCTTGCCTAGAACTTCGGTAACTACTTGGACCGCGCTTCTGCGACAGTTGCTGTCTCTTCAGCAGCCGTGCACAGCCGCCAACAAAAGTGGCCTAAGGACCACAGCGCAGCCGCTCTTTCATCACCAACTCCTGGAGCAACAGGAGGTTATTGACATGAGTGCATTGCGAGATACGGCGCAAGACAAATCCTATCCTGCCAAGTTGAATGCCATCGTGCACGGGTCGACGCGAAGTGGCTGGAGGCCGCTGAGCTCCGAATCTGCCACGTTGCGGCCCTGCTGTTGTAGGGCAACTGTGCGTGGCATGGGCCACAAGAGCTCCCGGATGTCGGTGGCCGGCGCCGTCGCGTGCCCGCTTTCCCGCAAGATCCGCCGCGGCTCTCTCAAATCCTTGCAGATTACGAGACCACCGGGCGCATCTGTTGTCTCGGCCCTCTCGCCATGAAGGCGCTGCACTTGAAGCAGCCACACTTGAAGGAGCAATGCAAGGAACCGCATCGGCCGCATCACAGTGCGACATGCGCCGGGCACGCTGCGGAATGCCCTTGCCAAGCTACGCCAAGCTATGTCGCACCATGACTGTGCAGCCCGCTGGGGTCAACGTCACTGGAGACTAGCAACGTAGAAGGATGTAGATCGAAGGCTAGCGATCAACTTTTCATGTCGCATCTCCCCGTCAACAAGATATCTCACATTGCCGGTGATGACAGATCTGTGGAGATGTTTGAAGCGTCACGTCTTTTCGCAGAACATGAACCACAAATGCAGTAGCCCACTTCGGCACTTAGGCACCTCCCTCACTTGTGACCCCCTATTGCCCCTCACCTGTGACCCGAAGGTTGCCCCTCACTGGTGACCCAAAAACCCCTCGCTTCTGACCCGAAACCCTTCGAGGCACTTTAAGGTTTCATCGGCCTTGGACACTTCAGGGTTTTATCTGTCTTCGACACTTTAGGGTTTCATCGGCCTTCGGTTTTAGGGTTTCATAGTCTCCATTGTAGTTCCATTTTTTGTGGGGTTCATCCAACTATGCATTTAG